CAGGCTCTAACACTTGCTAATCGCTCATGAATGCATATGCAAGTGCTAGTCTTGGAGAAAAGGGGAGGGTGTATAGGTGGGGGAAAGGGCCAGGCAAGGGGGGGATCCCTGTCTCAGCCCCTGGCAGATTTGAAAACTGAGCACCATTTTTCCTAATCCTAGCTWTCCCTTTAATTAGACACATGCATCACAGGTGATCTGCTCCTCTGGGGATTTTCTGGGGTTTGCAAATATCCARATAGGACAGATTTGGCAAAGTGACCTGCCTGGAAAGTATGTGCTAACTTGGAAGAATTTGGTAGTGGGATGTGTTAGCAGCACTTCCAGATTATGTGCCCACTTATGGCCTTCCCGAGTCTGATTACAGTCACCCACTTGGCACATAATCCTTATTAGTTCTGTTCTGATATTCATTTACAAAGGGGACATACATGGGATCATCCTCAGATGAGAGATGTGGAAGAAAGCAGGGGCCACAATACATGAACTCGAGAGAGCATGAGATTTAACTACCATTTCAGCATCCTGCTTGAACTGAAGGCACTGGCATCACAGGATTTTGTAGGAAGCTATCTGTATGAGAATGAGGAAGACAAAGAAGTCTCAGGGGAGGGGTAAAAAAAGCTTCTGTGTAATTTCAAAATTCAAAAATGATGTGTGTTCGGTGAATAAAAGACAAARTTCTTGCAGCAGAGTGTAGAGCAGCCTTTGGAGGAGAGTGGGGGAAGTGGCTCATGCCATGCAAAGGGCCTTGGTACAGTGAGAAAACACCRGATTTGTTATTCCCCCTGTTAAGGTGGAAACAGCAGAAAGCATTTGAACACAGCTGTGTCTGTACTGTCTGCTTTTAGTAAGAGGACTCCTAACTGAGCCTGTGGGAACAACCACACCAGGGATAGCAGGGAGGGGAGGATTTGAGCAGGGAGGATGCTTGGAAGGTTTTTGCTCGATGTACCCATCTCTTCATGATCCCCAGGACTTCACTTAAGCGTAGCTCCAAGCTGGCTGCAAGTCCTCCCCTGGGGAGACTGATCCATATTCCAGCTGATGGCACTGGTATGGAATGCTTCCTGAGGTGAGTGCTTACAGCTACAGCACTCTGGCATCATGGGCATGGGAGGCATGGGTGGAGGATTGGTAAAGAAAGAACAGACACATCAAAGCCTAGAAATTTGTGTTTTCTCACTAGCCTGCCTGCCACTTGCTTTTTGACACCCAGCTTTCTTGCCTTTCCAGGGAGCCACTTGGCTTTGTGCCACRGATGCCCTGTGCCAGTCTGCCCCTGCACTAACAAAGGGCCAGCCAATTCTCAGGGCATTGAGAGACTGGGCTGCCAGGGGGAGGGAGAAGCTTCTCTCTACCTGCTCCCCTAAAGAGTCAAGAGAAAGGAAAACTGTATTTTAATATGAATGAGGGTCTGATTTTTGTTTTTCTTTCTTGATTCCCTTCCTTCTACAGTCTGTCATCTTGGGTCCAGACTGCAGGTTATGGCCATGCTACAGGGGTTAGGCTGTCCAGAGAAAAGCAGGCTGGGCAAGCTCTAAGGGCTGCAGGGCAGGAGTGTTTTCATACTAACTAACTTTTCATCCCCCTAACCTGGGGAATGTTCAATTTGAACAAAAATAAAACTATGAAATTAAAAGTGCCTGCTTTAGACAAARGCTCAGACAAACTCAACAGAACACAAGGTAAGGATTTCTCGTTGCCTTCCTCAAGCACACACATCCTCATCAGAGGATGGTGGTTCCCAGGAAAACCTCCGAGGGGCAGTGGGGCTCAGGCCATGTCTCCCTCCTCACTAATACTGAGCCAGCACCCTTCAGCCTCRCTGAGCACCACCAACATGAGCAGAATGACACAGCTACACACAGTGACACTTCACAATATTTACCAAAGCACCRGTGACCCACATTACAGCCAGCTACAGCAGACAGGAGAGCACCTAACCTATGCAAAATTTGAGACAATCTCTATCACTACAACATCATCCTGCTGATCGAAATGAGTTTAGCATTGTTCTGTGGTAGGAAAACCCCACTATTTCTGACCCAGTGGTGTGAGCTCCAGAGCTGGATTTACAGCATGACTGTTTCCCCAGCCTCCATCTGTGTAAACCAGTGTGTTTACATCACTCCAGAGCAAACTTGAGCTTCAGCCCTCTGAAGGTACCCTACCGAGAATAAATCCTTGTTCTGGGAACTTCCTGGATGAAACATCTTCCAGCCACAGTCCTGTCTCACTGTGCTTAGACCAAAGGGCCAGGACTGCTTTTCATAGCGGGATTTTCTGTACATACTTAACAGGCCAACTTATTCTTACTTACCTGACTAAAGCTYCACACTATTAAGCACATAATAAGCTAATAACTGAAGAAGAAGGGGGTAGCCACAGAACGGAGAGGGGGACACAACCTAGCATCAAAAACCAAATTGTTCCGGCTGTTTGGCCCTGTTGGGATGATCAGGATTAGACTAGATCTGACCTGTGTTGCTGTTTCAGCTGAAAACAGTTCCAAAGGAAACACGAGTGGATACTTGCATCTGCTCTGTGAGTCATTCCCAACAGGTATTTTTAAAAAGCATATCAGCTCTAGAGATTCATGGGAAGTATATCCAATCTGAAGGCTGGTGGTGCCACAGGCAGATGTTCTAGACATGATCACATCGGGAGCTTCCCAAATGTCCACATCACATTTCCCATAGCATTCTCAGTGTCTGTATGACTTCTGGATTTACCTTTGTAATATGTTTCTAATGTGTATAATTTATCTGGGGGAAAATAACTGGATTTCTTTTCCTAAATAAATTCTGACTTTAGATGGTAAGGTTTTATACACTTACACAAGTTTTATTTCTCTCACAACGACATTAAAAATTGTATGTTTGGTCACCTGATCAGAGGTATGGCTGGGAAGAGRGGGCAAATTATTCTCACTGGAAGGGTGTAAGTGGAAAAGAGGTTTGGTGGTTAAAGCATAAAACAAAGGGAATGGAGAACAAATAGGATGAGAAAAGGAAAATGTGAACAAAGACAGGGAAAAATGGTGGGGGGATTAAATCAGCTTCATGCTCAGCACAAAACAGATCTGACTCTCCGACAGAAGCTGATATATACTTGAAACTGATCTATGTATGAAAATTGCAAACTATGAGCAGCTCTGCTGCCTTTGCAAACACACACACAGAGCTCTCCGAGGAAGGATTAGCTGGCAGRGGCAGTGTTACTCCGTTTGTAAAATTCTAATCCCTCTGCCGCGGCTGATCCCCACCAGCCCCGTGAGGGATCCTGCAGCCTCTGGGACGGCCAAACGCAAGGGCTGTGGTTTGTAGGGAGCCCGCTTTTTATTCCGTCTTTGCAACGGGCCGGTTTTGGCGAACTCGGAGAGCCCCCGCGGCGATCACGCATGTCCCGGGGCAGCCCGGCCAGCAGGGGACATGGGGACCGGCGGCTCTCTGYTCCACAAAGGGCAGCAGGATGGCTTCGTATCCGAGGGACAATCCCTTTCCGTTCGTGCATCTGCATTACAAGCACCGACCTGCCCCAAACCCACAGCCCGGCTGGCTCTGCTTGTTTTGGGGCCAGAATCAGGCTCTAGCTCGGTATTTTCATCCCTCTCGCCCGATTATAATCATTTCCTCCCACATTCCTAATAGTCCTCCTAACTGTATCTAACACATTCCTAATAGTCCTCCTAATAGTATCTCCTAACTGTCCGGATTCTGAGAAACTAAATCATTATTAATTAGGAGGTGATCAAGCAGAGGCTCAGCGGACCAGCTGGGGCCCATTTCTCATTATGACTCAAGATGGGAGCAGGAGATAAATTGAAGCAAGGGAGGTCTTTCTTAGTTACGTCCTAAAGACGTTAACAGTCCAGCAGGTTAGTAGCTACTCCCCTGCCTGTGTCCTGTTCCCTTTCACTGGCAAATGTGGGGAATTTGCTTTATGTGTCACGTGCTCTCATTTGTATTTCTTCCAGGTGGTTTTCTAGGTTTTGTAACTCCCGGGCTGTGAGATCCTCCCGATAAGTTTTTCATTTCCTTTAAGTAAGCAGTAAGAGTTGGGGCTAGGGAAACAGTTTATTCTCTCCAAGTCTGTTGGCCCTAACTTCAAATCCTTAAGATTTGTAAAGCCCTTTTACAGGCACCTTGCTCTTGTTTCCTCTTAAATCTGACCCGGTGATTCCCACCTCTTCCTGCTGTGTAGCAAAAAAAAAAAAAAAAAAAAAAAAAAA